ACCTACTAGCTACTGTAGTGACAACTCACCTACTAGCTACTGTAGTGACAACCCACCTACTAGCTACTGTAGTGACAACTCACCTACTAGCTACTGTAGTGACTACTCCTGTAATTTATTGCATCTCTGCGTGAATGATTAGATAATTTCACCTAAATTAAATCAAATTAAATTACTGAGTTCTGAACCTGCCATTTAGATCTATAAAGGCCTTGGGGCTATGTTGTTTGATTTAATTAAACACAATATATGCCCTCCACTATGCTCTTGTAGTATTTACTGAAGCTCTTAATATGATTGCTTATATTTCAAGCCATCTTTTTCCCGGCCCCTTGCTTTGGATCATTTTCATCAACCGGGCCCCATTCCAAACTAATTGAATAGCCCTGCTCAAGATGATAGGAAAGGAGGTTTGAAACTTTCTTTATAACCTCTTGAGCAGGGCTATTCAATTAGTTTGGAATGGGGCCCGGTTGATGAAAATGATCCAAAGCANTTAAAGAGTCCTCTCCTGCTGATGTTCAGGTGTATATCAGTATGTAGTGTCTCTACTTTAAAGAGTCCTCTCCTGCTGATGTTCAGGTGTATATCAGTATGTAGTGTCTCTACTTTAAAGAGTCCTCTCCTGCTGATGTTCAGGTGTATATCAGTATGTAGTGTCTCTACTTTAAAGAGTCCTCTCCTGCTGATGTTCAGGTGTATATCAGTATGTAGTGTCTCTACTTTAAAGAGTCCTCTCCTGCTGATGTTCAGGTGTATATCAGTATGTAGTGTCTCTACTTTAAAGAGTCCTCTCCTGCTGATGTTCAGGTGTATATCAGGATGTAGTGTCTCTACTGGGACATGTCTCCATGCTTTAATGTGCTGCTGCACCTCTTTTCACCCTCTGTCTGAAACCAGAGCCCAGTCTGCTCTGATTGGTTAGCTGGCCGGCTCTGTTGTGATTGGTCAACGGCTTAGCGATGTCCCGCCCTTAGCCTACCACGTACAATGTGTTGGAGCGCTAGCCAACAGAAGCGCGAGTGTTCCATAGTGATGTCACAACGTTCAGGAAGTAAACAAAGGAGTGTTCTCTGACCTGATTCTCCACAGGTCGGCGAACAGGCCCTGCTCCAGCTCTGGCAGCAGCAGAGCGATGGCGGTCTCAGCGTACATAGTGATGATTCGCTGACCGGCTCTCAGCGCTGTGTCTCTCACATACTCGTTCTCATCGGCCAGAGCCTGGAGGAAAACACAGAGAGAAGTAAGTAAGAGCAAAAAAGACTCAAAGGTCCCCTATTGTACTGTTTCTCATCAATATATCACAGGTGTCAGATATATACAGAGCCTGTCTCTGATTGGTTGAAACACCAAGATCTTTGCAGCATTACCCATAATCCCCTCTGTTTCAGCCCTGTTTCCAAAGTGCTGATTCTCTGTCTGTTACTTTAGATGAAAATAAGGAGCCCCTCCCCACGCCCCTCTGAGAGACATTTGGTTACAAAGAACTCAATGGAACTCTAGGAGGAGATTCAGGTGATAAGGGGGGGGGGGGTACCTTGGGAAGGGGGGGGGGGGTACCTTGGTTGCTGATTGGCTAATGGTTACACAAGACAAAACATCGTTATCACATCTTAAACTTTCAGAGTCTCTTTCCACAGAAGGGACACATGTTGATGTAGAAGAGACATGAAGAAGAGGGGACACATGTTGATGTAGAAGAGACATGAAGAAGAGGGGACACATGTTGATGTAGAAGAGACATGAAGAAGAGGGGACACATGTTGATGTAGAAGAGACATGAAGAAGAGGGGACACATGTTGATGTAGAAGAGACATGAAGAAGAGGGGACA